CTTCCTTAATAATATTATACTAAGCGACGACAGCTGCCACAAACGCGTAGAGGCAGATTTCCTCTTCATTTTTTTTTTTTTATTTACCTACATATAAAAGAACATGTACTTATTTCATAAATTTATTATTTTTTTCATCACCAACCACTTTCGGACTGCGGCCGTCTTTTGCTTTTACGATCTCACGTCACTACCGCTACCGCCACTCTCGGGTAGTAAGTATATGTATATCCTCACGCCAACATACAGCTGCTGCAAAGATATTATAACCATGTAATATCGCATACTTATGTATACGTATACTTTATAGAACATAATATGTCTAGCAACAAAGTACATAATATATTTTATTATCATGTCAGTATTTCGAGTCATAAGTGAATAATATCATCAATAACTTGTACAAAATATTATAATTTATTTAAACTTTTAAAATGTATAGTACAGTAAGTAAAAGAGAAAAATTTGGAATAAGTGTAGAAGAAATTTTGCAGTAATGGTACTTCAGGATGAGTTAATAAGTGGTTATTGTATTTGTATTAGGTATTAAACTATACAAAATATAATAAGATTTTATGACCGTTGCCACCTGTTTAAATTTTTGGGACAACGATAGATAAAAGGTTTTGAATGTGGGAGTAAATGTGACTTTGAATATGATTTCTGAATTTAAAGCAATAAAGTTTGGCTAAATAGACAATTAGAACTCAAATATTGGAGGTGCTGAAATTATGTAATGATCATAAACCTGTGAAGCATAGCCCCTGTACCTCCAAAGACCATTCCTCAGCGTATAAATTGCAATTAGTAATTACCGTTTTAAAACAACACTAATATTTTTAGTATAAAATATATTTTTTTTTTTAACCTAACCTTAGCGACTAGGTCTATAGGCTAAACCTAAGAAACAAAAGGTACTAAATTTGAATTTAGGGGTACTTAAGACCTTTTTTCACTCCTCTAGTTATAGTAATGTAATAGCTAATTAAGTTTTGTTAGAAATTTAAATAGGAACTGAATAAATTTAGGTTTGAAACACAGATGAGCATAGTAATTATATATCTGACGTGTTTTTATGTTTTTTTTCAAAGCTCCTAAAATTTAAATTTGAATATTATACATTTCTTTGAATTTAAGTAGAAGATTATAAATTTGAGTTTTGGTTTTATGGTTTTATTATAATTTATTTTTACTATTTTTTTGATAAGCTGGCCTAAGTTAATGAAGTCATTTATTTAGTTTTAATTCTTTTACGTGGTATATAAAACATACAATTGGTCAATTTAACGTCCAAATCAAACTCTGTTAAAAATAAAGTCTAGGTATTTATATTAAACTTGTCTATATCAAATTTGGTGTGGTTTAACGTTGATGTATGTAGATATGTACTAAGAGGTTGACAATTATGAAGAGCAAAAGTTGTGAGGACTGATTTATTATAAATATTATAATAAATAATAATTGAATGAACCATTGACACACCCATTTTGTAAAAATATAATTATACAATATTCACGTTTCTAAAAACACCAAGCTTAAGGGGCCATTTTACCATTTTTATATACCACTAAGTTGAACTAATTTTTATAAAAATATTTTTTTAATTAAAATGATAATGTCTAGAGCCAATAATAATTTATAACTCTTTATACCTTGCAGGCATATTAAAATCTTTCATTCGATAATAAACTATTAATGTACCTATTTAAAAAATTATATCATCAAGGTATTAAATGAATTTCAATTAGATATACTTTTTTTATATTCTAATTTATTCATAATATTTGTTAAACTAATTTTAACTGTAAATATTTTGTTATCAAATGTAGATACGACGATAATTCATAGAAATTACCGTCATACTTTTGATTTATTTGTTTATAGAAATAAATAAATATTATAATACTTGAGTAATAAAATTATGTTTGCTTTTAGTCATAATAATTATGCATGTTTAATTTTAACCGTTAAAATATTAAATTTTTATTGATACTATTTGATTTGTTTTTAATTTTTAACTGTTTACAGTTTAAGTTTTTACCTACCCTTTAAAGTTTAATTTGTAATGTGTTCAATTAAAATATTTAATTTTAATAATAATTTTGTTCATCTTTATTTTGTACACTATAATTGTGTACAACGCACGGATAATTAAACATTATAAATTTATATTATATATTGCAGTATAATACCTACATAAACTGAAAAATTAGCTAAAATATTTTAATTCTAATGAGTAACCGTAATCAACCATAACAATCATAGTTACCTATATCACGTAATTTTGGATCTTTTTGTTTTCAGATAAGTGGAGGTATTCCATTCCATATACCAATATGTACTTATAACTTAGACACGAATTCACGGGAATATGCCTAAAAAATAATAACAAATTTAATTATATTTACAATACTCATATTATTTTGAATCTATTCAAATGCTATTTTTAAATCGGTTTTTTATACAATAGTGTAAATCATTAATATATAGGTATGCATAAAATATTATTTGTCTCATCAACCACTATTATTTATTGTATTAAATAACGCCTTTACAAATTATCTACAATCTTACATTGGTAGGTATCTTCACTCGGCGTTTTCTGTGTGTACCTACTAATATTTTATCTTAAGTCTATTATTCGATTATTGTAATAGATTGTCTAGTAAAAAATTATGATAAAAAAAAAAAAAAATAAAAAATATACTAACAACGCTACAATTGTAGTTATAATGGAAGAATTGAAAATTTTAATTATAGCCTCGGGGTTGTGGTATCAAAATATAATTCTTCTATTGAATACAGAAAATATTATAAAATTATATCAAATTTATTTTCATTCATGAATTGAAATTATATTTTCCCTTACTTCTAGGTGTTTTAGTACGGCAATATATGTACAGTTATGTATGATAAATAGTTGGTATATTTATCTTTGCATATTTTTAAATCTAATTCTGAAAAACTATAATACCATTCAAAACAAACACTAGTTTTGTTCTGCAAGACGTAAATGTTACAAACAAAAGTTTCTTTGAAGAGGTTCATAATTATTATGACAGTATCTACCACCTTTTTTTTCTCAATAAAATCAATGTTTTGTTTATTACTTAAGAAACTAATATTTTGTATTACAAAATATAATGTACATATTGTTGCCAACTGTTATTTTAATGTTTGCAATCTCACCCCTCGATTTTGAATTAAGTCGTATGGGTTAGGTATCACCTTTATTTTGTTCTTAATTGAGATTCGTAAACCTATTCGATGAGAATATTAATCAAATATAATTATTCCGGAACTGTAAATATTAATCATCGTCTTGATCGATGGCGTTTAAATTAATAACAGATCTTCTCCAATCGCCAAATAAAAACACACTACATTACCTACGTAATTTTAATGCTCCATCTTGATATCATAATACATTATTATATTTCGTGGTACCTATTCTATGTTCAAAAATCGGCGGATACCACTCGTTTATTATTCCCGATTTAGAAACACAATTAATATTTATTCAATACAATAACAAAATATAACAATAACATTATACAGCGATGTATAGTACAATATCATCGATAAACATAATATTCCTCTCGACTAATCCATCATACTGTGTCTACAATAATATGTTTGTTTATACTCTGCATACATAATATATTACCTATGTGTATCCAACATAATATACATAGAACAAGTACGTGAAAAAACTTCCTTACGCAGCTCGTTTACCGGCAATAATAATCATGTAAAATATACATTTACTTAAATACTTTACAGGGCATATTAAAAGCCGAAAATGTAGAACATCTGTCTGTCACTCAAACGTATAACAACACGAACCGTAATAATTCAGTTTACAAAATAAAGGTATGAACGATTCACCTCAAACGCAAAAACGAGAAAGCGGAGAAAAAAATGACGCGCAGAATTCGACAAAATATTCATAACATACGAAAAAACCCCTACCGATAATATTATGAAATCTTATAAATTGATTAATTATTACTAATAATGATCATACAATTTTTATTGAATTTAAAACAATTCATTACCGCGATATGATAAGATAACATGTATTAGATTTTTATTAAAAATTAATAATTTTTTTCGTTTTATTTAAATAGTTGGCAGTTGACGGTGATTTTAATTGATACTATTTCTGTGATTTTAACACGCATTCCGTGTTTTCATGCCTTAAAAATCTGTGACTTTTAATGACGATGGTCGTAAGTCTAACAAATACCCATTTATTTCAGTGTTCTTATTGAACGAGTAATGACATCCGGAATTGATGTTTAATAGTTTTGAACCACAGCAATTTAATGTGTCAAAATAAAATAAATAGTGCAGGTATTATAGGTCATTTTAGTAATGACTAATGACCATAAAAATTAAATATTATTGACAAAATATTAGGTAAGGTCCGGTTAAGTAAGACTCTATTTTTTTAACGTATAATATTCATGTCGTGCTTAGGAAAACCATAGCTTTAAAACATATGATTTTACATTAGTCAATAACGTCGAAACAAAACATACAAAAATAAGCTTATTCAAAAATGTAATAACTTAGCAATGGTGATAATTAATTCACTACTAAAATTTTATTTAGCTCCCATAATTTACAAATTTTTTATAAATATTTAATTAGACTTTTTAAAGTTAGTACATGGTTCATATGCCTGACCCAATATAATTATACTGTAATTCTATATCAAAAACATTAAAAAGCAAGATGAATAACAACCTTAATATTCGTATTTGTATATTAAATTAATTTTTAATATCAATAAATATATAAAAAAAAATGATGTATACAATACTGGCTAATATTGGTTATATTAATAATATATGATAATACCTCTAAAAAAATTCTCTAAAGTTATTCCAGAGTAAATAAACTAAACAAAACAAAATCGATGCATTTTTTTCAAAAACGAAATTTTTCACAAACCAAAATATTGATCATTTTCAACCAACAATTATTATTGAAATTAACATCAACATAGTAAAATTTAATTCGTTTTTTGTTACTTTAGTTAGCATAAATTTAAAAAAAAAACTGTATTTACATCAAAAACACACTAAATCATGCGAAAATGTAATTATGTAGTAATTTTGTGGATAAATTTGATTAAATTTTCATTTGGTACCCACGGTATCCAATTCGCTGAACTTCAACTGTTGTATTTCAGAATTCTTCAATGACAGGCCAAACATTCGTTCAATAGTCTGTTTGATGTCAACTCCCATCAATGAATCCATTCCTAAATCAGCTAAAGTAGATGTAGGCTTAACTGAATTTGGATCTTGAATGCCTGAATATCAAAAGAAAATCGAAGAATATTATCGCATTGATTTATTAAAAAAACTGTACATTAAATTAAAATTATTTTGTGTTTCATAGTATACAAACTTTTAAACAGTGTTATTATTATAAAGCGATAAAAACTGTACAATACCACTCGTATAGAAATTTCAACAATTTATTCGAGTAATAAACTGGGAAAATTTTACAAGTACATTAAAATTTCAATAGCTCGAATCTTAAGAGAAATAAAAATTAATTTGACTAAAAATGATGATTCTTGAATATTTATAAAATTACTAGTATTTCAAGCGAGAGAAAAAAAATTATATTTTTATAAGTTATTAAAAATGATTACGGAGTTATACTACGGTATATATATATATAATATTATCATACAGAAATTTTAGTTGATTCATTATTATTTACTATCATTGTTGAAGATATTTCAATATAATACATTTTATTTCTAACATTAAAAATTACTAAAAAGTTACCCATAATTCCAGAAACGATTTCCGTGAGTGATTGTGATTTTGAATTCTCTGTCAGTTTTCTTTTGGTTGGTATCACGTGCGAAGCAACGACGGCTGAACTTTGTGTTAAAAGTGTATCCAACGCCACTAAGCATGACGATATTTTTTGGGCCAAGGTACCATTGATTTCTTTTTCTTCGTTACCACGAGTTAATAGATACGCCATTCCGACGTCACCTATGCCTCCCCATTGAATAGATTGCTATCGATTAAAAAAAATATTGTACAACACCAATTGAGGTACCGACGTCTGTTGTGGAAAACGTACAAGATTCTTATGAGACGTGATATAAAAACGATTTTTTTCTTACCGCCGGCAGTCCTCGTTTTTGTCTTTGCTCCGAAATCCTTTCCATGATAGAATTTGCATAACCGTAATTGGTTTGTCCCCTGTTGCCGCGGCCACAAGATATAGACGAAAACGTGACGAAATATTCCAAATCCTTACTAAAGTCTTTCGATGCTTCGTCTAAATGTTTAGTAGTTAAGACTTTACTGTTGTACACAATCTGGAAGTTATCCACTGTTTGATTTTCAAAAATTCCGTCTCTCAAAACCTACATCAATAAAAAAATATTATACACACAATGCCGTTTAAAACTCGATATCCGATTCGATGAAATCCGTACCCCGGCTAAGTTGAAAATACCACCGAGTGGACCGAGACTAATAGCCAATTTTACAGTTTCTTTAGCTCCCGACAATGTGGTCAGATCGAATGTACTGATTTCCACTTTGATGTTTTGACTTCTCCATATACTTAATCTATATTTCTGGTATCCGGTTTGAATTCCACTCCGCGAACACAGAATAATATTCTTTGCCCCGCGTTCTATTGCCCACTCGGTAAGTTCCATTCCAAATCCACCGAGGCCACCTAAAATCGATTTCAATTATATTGACCTTCTGAACTCGTTATGATAATGATTTACCCGAAAGTATGTAGCTTTTGCTTGGATCGAAGTACACCCGTCGGTATGCCTCAAAATTGGATCTCAACGACTCCCCAGACACTTCAACGATAATCTTGTTTCCAGTTTTATTATTAGCGCATGATCTGTATGAATACAAAAATTCGGTAATTATATTAAATTAAATATACATGAGGTATGATTTAAATTCACTTGAAAGCAGATTCGACATCAGAGTATGGATATACAGAAAACGGAAGAGGTTTGATAACATCGGTTTTTATTCTTGAATCGATATATGAATAAATATTGTCTGCAGACGGATTGTTTAAAATAGGAATATCTTCAAACTTGGCTGATATGACTCCAAATCCATTTGGCGAATCTGAACATAATATAATAATTCGACTTTTTTAGTATCTTTTACTAAATAAGTTATCGTCTTCTAGAAAAACCAATAAATGGAATCTACATAATATATTAATGTTATTTATTTTTATGTTTTTATAATATTATTCGCTAATTTGCATTAAATTCTAAAAACTGAAATGTTTCTCTTACGTATTTTTTTATACTTAACGTACGCCAATCTCGTTTAAGTGGTATATTTGTATAATAAAATTTACTTGATAAGACTGAAACGTCTGTTTTTTCGGTGATGATAATTTTTGCTTCATCGGCAAGCAGTTCTGGTAAACGGTTAGAACAATATTTAGATAAAATAACATAGTCAACCCCTCGATTTAGAGTCATCGTTGATATCATGTGAATGAATTTTGAATCAAACCTTGTAGTCGAAAACTGACTCGCCTATATTAATTTAATATAAACACAGTATAACTGCCCGATCATAAATCATTTTCTAATATTATATATTTCAAAGACTCACTTTTGGGTAATTTTTCTTAATCATTTCAAGCTGTTCATCAGTTTCAACTACAACAAACACTTTGCACTTGAGTGATATTGAAATAGAAATAGCCGCGTAGTTTACACCGTTTCCATCAGCAAATACCAACACATTTTTGGATTCCGATAAATTCCCTTTGTGTATTAAAGCATAAGTGGCCTATAATCATAATAGAAACTTTTTTTATTTCACTCAATAAATACGATTTTATAATTCATAACACTTTACCACAAAGTATGAGTACGGAACAGTAGCGGCTTGTCTCAAAGTCCAACTTTGTGGTACATTCCATACGATAGCATTACTGTGATTGACTGACGTTGATAGAGCACCAGTTTTAATCAACCCCATTACCTTTTGACCATTAGTTTTAATACCAGAAAATTCTACTCCGAATTCGGTTTTCTATAAAAACGGGTGTATTACTAGTATACAGAAAGGTATAAAAATATCACAACTAAATTATAAATCACCGACCATTGACGATACTGCAGCTAAATCGACATTGTTTACACCAGCGTATGCTATTTTTATTGAATCATTACTGTCGTCGTTTTTCGTATATCTGTAAGTACGGTAGAAATTTAAAATATACACAAAACGATATTATAATTTTAAATCTACTTTGTCGACTGAACCCATTGAAGTGTTGTCAGATCACCTTTGGACTGTACGGACACTTTAGCTTCAGTTGTTTGAATATTAGAAGCGTTTTTTACATCAATTGGTAAATGTCTGTAAGATCCCCAAATGCCATTTCTTTCCACGTTAAAGAACAGATCGGTTTCAAGGATTGAGGCAAAATCGTTCGATGTATATTTTTTGCCAGATTCTGTTAGTATACACCTAACAAAAAAAAATATATATATCTATTATGGTTAAAAATCAACTTAAACGAAGGATATAATCAAATACCTAATGGGATTTTCTTCGCCATTGAATTCTTCCACTAAACATTTAGATAGACCGAGAACACCGTTGATATTTTTATCACTGTAAACTATAACTTTTTTGCCTGAACCTCCTTTAATGTCGGCTAATTCCTTTTTCAATAATTCCACCCAAGAAAACTGTTCGTCATCGATATTTAAAGTTGTGTACTGGTATTTTGAAGAAATCTAATCATAAAAAATTAATTGATAATAAAAATTTATTTTTAAGGTTCCTAATAGTTTTATGCAATACTTTTTTCAACAGGTAGTATTTCATATCGCCGTTTTCAATAACTGTCGCTATTTGAAGATTCAAAGCGTTCAATTTGTTTGGGGCATTTGTAGACATATTTTCAACCAATAGAACAAATCCTCTCGGAGCTAATGTCGCAGAAATTTTACCCAATAAGGTAGCGTCAAAACGAGTATCATCGGCAACTATTAAATGGTATTCCTCAGATAACGATTCATTTTGAATGTTGAAGTCAATAACTTTAATATCTAATGATGATAATTTGCTCTGTTCGATATCAACAGACTTGTTCGAAAGAACTGTATAGTCCACCTAAATCAACATGAAATATTTCAATGTCTATCGTTTATAAAGAATTATATAACTATAATCCCTCACATAAAAATTAGCCTCTGCTTCAATTATTTGAACAATTTCGGTAGCCAATACGTTATTGTTATGGATTTCTGCGGCTTTTACATAGTGCACTCCTATGTTTTCCATAAATAATCCAATTAAAGAATAAAGAACTTCATACGTAGTTAATTCGTTAGACTATAAAGAAAAACAATGTTATTTTTTTTTTTTTATTTCTAATTCTCAAAACTATAATATACTCTCACTGTATACACAAACGGAATAAATGAGTGACGTTCCAGAGTTGCTGAAAGTTGGGCGTTTTTTCTTAAAGGTACCGGTGTCACTTTCAGTTTAGAAATAGTGACTCCGCCTGATTGTGTTGTCTTGGCATAACCAAAATGGTTTACTTCAATTTCTAATAATAATTCGATTAAGATAATTTTAAAAATATAAATTCACACTAATTTTATTACCTTTAGGATCTGACGACTTTTCTGAAATTTGTTTATGGTACACGGGGTCAATAATAATTTCTTTAATGTATGTTGGTAAGCGAAGTTCTCTGGTTTTTATAGATATAAGTTCAAATTGTAAAAGGGTATCAATAAATGATACCCAATTTCCAGTCCACGCAACTTTACCTCTAGAGCCTGATATACATAGTTTATTTATTTATTGTTTGTAAATAAATTATTTTACAATCCTACCTTTAGTATTTGCTTCTACAAATCCTAAAAATGCATCTTTATATTGATACCCTCGTAGTCTCAACTCCTTGTAAAAGTCTTCAGAATTTATTTCCATTTGTTCTGAAATGGTTGTAATATGTTCTATTTGATTTTCTTCGGAATTTTGGGTCAATAATTTTATACGTCCTGAGACTGTTAAAGATCCTCCTTCTAGTAACTCAAATTCCCCGGATTCATTGAGTATATTAATATTGAACTGAGTACTACCTTTTATATCAAAATATAAGTGTTTAATAAATAATCAAATGATTTATGATGATGTCATGTACCTTCATTATTAAGTACAGTGGGTCGTAGGAATCTTATATTCTGAAAAATGACTGGAACATCTTCAAACCATTTTCCTTGAAGTTTTGCATAAGCTTTCCATACTAATGTCTAAAAATAAATAATTGTGTATAAGTTAATAAAAATCATACCAATTAATAATCACAAATAACGAAATGAGTAATTTTTTTTTTATAAACTTTTCCCATTAATCCGAAAGTACAAAATTGTAGTGAAAACCAAAGCCCAGACAATACTGTATGAATTTGGTTTAACAATAATTTATTGTAAAACCCAAAAGCACTGCATACTTTTTGTAATAGGTAATAACAAAAAAAGTACACTACATTATGGAAAAATGGGTTCAGATTTGATATGCAACAGACGTATGCATGCTGTTAGCTTTGCATATCTTATCAAAATACCATAATATTCATTTTTTTCATATCAACATATTAAATTCCATTAATGTTTCCAGGTATAATACATTATGTTAACACTAGTGAAACGATGCATAATTTAAATTTAATATTTTTAACATGTGTTTTAAATCACATTATTTCTAAAAATTGCAATGTATCGTTCTGTTGACATTATAATATATTTTATGTATTATTAAATGAGCATGTAATAAAAAAAAAATACTCATTCTTACTATGTATCCTGCAGCTGGATATAAAATACGACCATCAATTGTATGACCAACTAAAAATTTATCTTGATCTGTTTTTAAATCGATTTCAACTTGATTATCGTCTGACCCTGAACTCTAAATTTAAAAAAAATAATTTTGAATTAATAAATTACATGTAATTCAATACAAATTATGAAAGATTAATCAATTATATAGATAGAAAAGTATATAAATAACTGTTTTAACTTACTTTTTCCACAAAATTAGGAACTAAATAATCGTTAGAATGATCCCACTTCAACATTGGAGATATCATTGGAGTACCTTTTACTACAGGGTACTCAACTTTACCGTACAAATTTTGTAATTGTGGCTCTGCTCCAGCAATATATAATCTTTAATAAATATAACAATATAATCAGTAAGAAAATATCATCATATTCCAAAATATTGATTGAAAAACATTTACTTTCCAATTGCCTCCAACAAGAAATTTACATGATTCGAAATAGTTTTCTTAGTCAGACCGATATTAGTAACTGTAGGAGGCAGTGATCTCTTCAAAATTGCTTGTAATAAACAATGAGGGGCAATTTCAATCGTTATAGCATTTTCAGGTACGTGTTTCGTGGCGCCGTGAAAGTAAACTGGTGAACTTATATTATTTAAATGGTAATCTACAGACGAAAACTGGGCTTCCGGTGTGTTCCATTGGTTTTCGGGTAATGATGTACTCTTCCACCGATTGGTTCGTGGTTTGGGATTAACCATTATCTACATAAAAAATTAGGTAGTATATTAAAATATTGATCAATTATATACAAGATCATTAAAATTTTTTTTAAAGCGTAAATAATACTAATATAAGTACCTTCTCATAATATGGTCTCAATAATGGTAAAAGTTTATTTAGATATGGCGTGTGGAATGCATATCCCATCGAGTCAACGGGCTTAGCAAATATACCTTCTTGTCTTAAAGTTTCGGCGAATTTCAAAGTTATGTCTTTAGGTCCCGAGATCGTAACACTGTCTGCACTGTTATGACAAGCAGCTATTATACCTTCAGGAAGTCTCTTTTGTGTCTCTTCCCACGATAGTCCTACTGCGACCATAGCACCAACGGGTACGTCAATTTGAATCAATATTTTGGATCTCCAGTACATTGTCAATAAAGCTTCTTCCAATGTAAAGCAACCGTCTGCATATGCGCATGCGAGTTCGCCAACCGAATGTCCAATAATACCATCGGGATTGATACCGAGTGAGTTTAAAATATTAACAAGACCAATCTAAAAAAAAAAAAAATACCGTGTTCATGAAATATATACGTACATTATTATCAATAATCTGCATTTACCTGAACAATAATAATCGTGATGGTAACATTCAGTATACTCTTAAATGTATTTTCGTCAGATTTGTAAAATAAATCATAAACACTATAGTCATATGGAATTAATATTGAATGTGCTTTGTCTACAGTTTGTTTAAAAACTTGAAATTTCACCAAATCGGCGACCAATTCTAACGACTGACTTCCCATACCTGGAAAAATGAAGTAGATTGGCCTCTTATCACCGGAGACATTACCTTGCTAGAATGATAACATTTTCGTTTAGTATTATGCATTTTAATACTTTTTTTTCTATAATATAAAACTTACAGCTATTTCAAAATTTCTAGGAGTCTGTCCAAGAATTGAATATCCAGATAACTTATAACCGGGAATTTTTGATTTATAAATATCATTAATTAAAGTTAACAGATCATTATCATCTGCATAGTTTTCAATCTAAAAACCAAAAATAATCTATATGTTTTTATACGTTATAATTAATGTCTAATTATTGTGAATATTGTAGTTTAAATGTATATGACGTTCGTTTATTATTATTTATATTAAAATTAACAACTAACAGATTCAAATTGTTCTGTCAACGCTTCTCTAGTTCGTCCTGACAGAAATACTAGCCTAGGTATTTCAAGTGTTGGTAATGATATTGTCTGTGCTTTTTTATCGTTAGCTTTTAGAATAACATGAACATTTGATCCTCCGACACCGAATGAATTAATAGAAACCAAATTTCCTGGTAATGGTGTTTGCTTATCGATAACCTAATAAATTTAAACGAATTAATACTGTGTCACTTTTATAATAATAATTATACATTCGATTACCTTCAATTCTCCACTAACAAGTTTTGGAATATTGTGGTTTAGTGTTTCAAAATTAATGTTTGCTGGAATAATTCCTGTTTCCATTGCATAAAGCACTTTAGCTATCGACACTAAGCCTGATACTGGTTCTGCGTGACCCACATTTGATTTGACCGATCCAACAAGCAAAGGACTTTTACGGCCAATACAAAACACATCCGAAATGGCGTTCAACTCTTGTTTGTCACCGACCTATAAAAACAAGATTATTTCAAAAATATTTATGATAATTTAATTTTATTGACTTACGCCCGTCCCTGTTCCGTGAGCTTCCACATAGTGTACGTCATTGGGATTTAAATTAGCACGTTTGTAAGTATCTCTAATTAACTGACTTTGAACTGACTGTGAAGGATATGTGGCGCCTTCGATTTTAAAGCCGTCAGTATTAGTAGACGTTCCGACTATAGTCGCGTATATTCGTTTAGCATCTGTTGATTTTTTTATGTATAGAGCAACAATAGCTTCACTTCTTACGTATCCATTAGCTAAATGTAATACATGTGTTATTTTGATTTTTAAAATCTTTAATTATAAACGTTTATAAGTTTTTTTTATTGAACTAACCACCAATGTCAAAAGGTCTGCTTGTTCCTGTAGGACTAAGCATATTATAACGATGATACATGACTGAAGTGGACGGTTTTAAGATTAAATTAGTTCCTGCAACAATAGCTGCATCGCATTGCCCCGTCTTTATCGCGGTAATGGCTTCGTGTAAGCAAAATAGCGCGCTCGAACACGCAGTGTCGATAGCCACGCTTGGACCTATTTAAATATATTTTATATTCGTTATCAACAAATTCCATAAAATTAGAAATTTTAAATGAATATACCATTAAAATTGAACTGATAAGAAAGTCTGTTTGCTAGCATAGATCTAATTGCACCAATTGTTTCATATCCGGTCATTTTTTCTGGTGTACGTTCATGATAATCTGTAGACTCGGTAGTCATCAAACCAACATATACTCCTGTTTTTGTTCCACGTATATCTTGCGGGTTAACGCCTGTTTTTTTTAAATATTACTTGAATGCCGAAACAAAAATGAAATAATTCTATTTAAATCATGCTATAAAAATACCAGCATCAAGTATGGCTTCATGTGTAACTTCGAGTAAAATCCTAAGTTGTACATCCATGGCATTAGCTAATTTTGTATGAATTCCAAAAAATTCTGCATCGAATTTGTTTATTTCCTTTAATTTTCCTATCCTTGCCGGAACTCCGTACATACCTAGGTAATAAAACATAATATTCTGTTTGTATGTTAATTACATTTTAATCTTAAGGCTTGATAGCAAATAATTATTTGTAACAAGAAGACCTACACAATATACTTGCATTTACAAAAGAAATTATTTAAAAATGTATTTACCTGGAGACCATCTTCTGTTATCAAGAGTCAATAAATCCGCGTTGTTGTACAATTTTTGCTTAAATTCTTCAGTAGAATTACATTCAGGGAATCGTCCAGCAATACCAGATATTACTACTTCGTTTGTTTCCAACATGTCTGCAAATAAATAAATGTTTATAATAATGATATCAATAGTAATAATACACATTAAATTAGTTAAATGATGTGGTTTATACTGGATGGATTTACCTAAGAATAAAAGCTTAACTTTATTATTTTTCAACATTATTAATTTGATTATCATACTAATATTAATAATAATATTCAATATTGATAAGTTCAAAACTATTTAGAACTCACTACTTTTTTTCATCAGTTGTTAAATATTAATTATTTGAAATAAATCAAATTATTTTATTTTAATAATTGTTTATTGGATAGTTTCTTGATTCTTTGAATGATTTCATTATCGAGTAAAATAATATTATCTATTACGAATGAATAGAAAAATTAAGGGACAATTTATTTGTAATTTTACAAAATTCTTTTTAAAGATAAAAAAATTTTCTATTATTTTTACTTTTATATTATACAAATATAATACATAAAGCGAAACGGTTTGTATCTTTTCAAAATCTGATACATGAAAATGTTATTTCTTTTTAGTATATTTATTCAATTTTTAATGATATAAAACTCTGCGAAATTTTTTTTAGCTGTTTGTCTGTATTACAGCATCTATGTATTTAAAATTTTTGTGCATTCTATAAAATAATAAAAACGGCACTATTTGTTAAAATGAACATTTTTTTTTTTTTTTTGTATTTTTCCTATATTTTAGTTAAATAATAATTATAAAATACTTGAACAATAAAGCGTAAAAAAGTTAATTCATTTGATTTTTAATTTTAACGTGCAAAATTTGAAAAATTATTTGATAATATCAGGTAAATAAAAATAAGCACCCGCAAAATAATAAAATTTTTTAAAACAATTAATATCATAATCTGCATAATCTATAAATTAAAAATATTTAAATAAATAATTTAAATATCAAAAAAAAAAATAAATACTGTTTCATCATACATTTTATTGTTAAATAAAGTTATTACTAATACATAATTCGAATAAATTTATAATTATTTTGTTTAATTTAACATCATAAAATTAAAATAATTTAATTACATCTATCATGACAGTGAATGTACACTATTGTGTTTAACACTTTTGACTGTTTTTTATTTGTTATAATTTCTATCTAATCATAAAATTTCAATATTTTCGCGTTTTTTCTTAGCTTAAATTTTGTGAAATTAGTTTATATAGTTTTTATTCTTCACCAAAGTATTAAAACGTTTTAATCTTAAAATAGAATATCAGCTAATCAATCCTGATAATGGATATTGCTTAATTCGCACATAGAACAAGGGTCAATAGTCAATTAATATTTACTATTTTAAGGTCGTCTTTCCAATGTTATTTACTGTAATGTTAAATTATATTGAAAATAGACATAACTACAAATATTTTTAAACATGAAATCGAGAGTCGGAGAATATAAATGTACAAAGTTAAAAAAAAAAATAAAGAATTTAAATTTTTCAATTCTATTAATTTATAAACAAAAACTAAATTTCTTAAATCATCCCTTAAGGCTCTAAACTCTAGAGTCTAGAGTATAAAAATAATTAATAATTATAAGTACATATTTTAATAATATGTTTTAGAATATTGTGTGTATTATATAATTCATTCTTTAATTTTTTAAATTTAGAATAACATTTTATTATACACACGCATTCAAAATTAATTCACAACCAAACAAATCTTGCTATCACCTATATATATTTTAAATGCTATTAACTGTTATAAATTATTTAGTATTGTTGAAAACACTAGAAAAAATCAAATTTTTTATCAGAATTAAATCTGAAATGTATAATTTAATAGTTATATAAAACAAAAGTATATACACTTCTCTTCTTACTGTTAATCGATATCAATCAATCAAAACTATAAATTGAGGGAGACACACTCAAGTTAAATAAAAATATATTTTACCTTAATAAACAGCGACGTGCCGATGAGAAAATTTTTATACACCTACAAAGAGTAATAATTATGGTAGTGCAATTTATGATTTATACGTAAGTACAATTACTCAAATTGTAAGGTATTTAATTAGTCACTTATTGAATATCGATATCATTGTCGAATTGTACTGTAGAGTTTTCTTAAATTATTTACCATGAGATACGAACAAGTGTTTTAATAAAATATCAAGATTAAAAAATATTCATTTTCCCAAATTAACCCTAAAGAGTTTAGTAAAATCAAGTCATTTTTAAGGTTTAGTTTTAAAAATTTAAAAGGTTATGTATTTTTACAACAAAATAATTTGCAAATATTCATAATTTTAATAAAAATTAAATTTTAAAAAATGTGGCTATAAGGTATATCCAATACTTTTAAATTATTGTAGCTATAACTTACAAGAAACTTTGTGTTACATTTTCAATGTTTTTAACATGTTGTATTTATTTCTATAAACATATATTGAAAAAATTCTAAAATTCCAAATGTCTTCAACCCTTTACTGCATACAAAGCACTTTTGCACTGTATTGTGTCGATAGTTATAATAGTAAAAAAAAACATGATTTTTAATAATATCAATAATTATATTTATACATCAAATATATTATTTTATGGCAAAGTTGAGAATTAAATTTCACCGTTAGAGTGTGCTATGTATTCCAGTTATAATTCCCATTAGTAACATCATGTAATAATATCCATTGTTGATCTATGCTTGAATGTGTGTTGTGATAAGAATAAAATCCAAAATAATGTCATTAGACTTCATGATCTACTTATATCTACTTTATTATTATACAAATACCAATAAAATAATTTTTATTGAATACTGTAAAATAACGTTTTTTTTTTTTGTTTTGTTTTTTTTTTTTAAATGCATTTGTGCACTTCCATGCAATAAGTACTAAACCATCATTAGTTACTACTTTCGACTCCGTGATTTTTACAATTTTATGAAAATTGTTTTTCTTATTATTTATTGTTTATATATTATAGAATATTAATTAATAATTAATATGTATTATTAGTTATATAATAATAATAATATTATTTAATGTATATTGTAAATTATTGTGCAATAATAATATTATAGTTATTTTATTTTCAATATTGATTAAATCCAAACAATTGACAATCTAGTGAACAATAAATTTATACCAATTGAAAGTGACAATGAGTTTGCTGGTATTAATTTAAGTGATAATGAAAATTTCGAATTTTGTTGGTTATTTTTATTTTTATGAGTTGTTAGTATTTTATCATATTATTTATTATATTAAAAATTTGTTATTTTATCATTAGGAATTATTTGCAAACGACGACCGAATTTTAAAAACGCCGTAAAAAATTCTAATATATTGAACTATCTCGTATATTTTTCTGAAGATAATATAGTTAATTTAGGTGCTTCAACGTCACAATCCCTAATTGTCATTCAAGTCTCATTAGATTTACAATCTTTATCAGTAATTGGTTCTGAACCCAACTTCACTAGCTTTGTCATTCGTTACACCAATACCTATCAGTAGAAATTATGGATCCACAAGACAACTATTTAATTCTAATGCTCTTAAATCAATGAAAAAACTCAAAAACATACCAAATATTTAAAAAAAAATAATAAGATGAGATTTGAAGAAAAGGAAATTTTTCGTAGAATCCCGGTTTTACAAATTTTTGCATGGAAAAACCAATACCTAATGAAACAAAAGAAATAATATCTTTTAAGGAATTTTTATTTTTATTTATTTATTTATTTTTTATTTTTTTAAATTATTAGAACATATTGCGAAACGGTCTACAATAATCCTGAAAAACCAAATAAAATAACGCAAAATTACGTACAATATTTTTTGGATATAGTAACAATGATATCAATTGTCTATTTTTCAAATATCAGGTCATATTAATCAGAAAATACTCATTATAGTCATAATAATACAATAAGAAATTTCACTAGTATAAATACATTTTAAAATATTAGACGGTTTATTTTAACGACAATACTCTAAATTTACCTAAACATAATTCAAATCGTGATATGGTTTTTAAAGTTTGGCCACTTATTGGTGTACTTAACAAAAATGTTGGCTCTGTACCTATCGAAGAAAAAGCTTATAATTAGATTAGCAATTGTGTTCAAATAAAGCTGTATCATATCTCAGACAGTTACTCTCTCTATAAATAGGGGTACAAATTTTATAAATAAATAAAAAATAACATAGGTTAGATTAAAAAAATATCATCAATGGTAATTTTGAAAAAGGCAGAAAATAAAATGCTAGAAGAGCTTGAAAAAAAAAGATACCGATAACAATAATTCCATCAACATAAATACGATTTTACACCTAGTAAATTGCCAAAATATAAATTTCAGTCATTCATTAAGAGCACTAAATGTGATGTTTTTTTTTTTTTTTTTTTTTATGTTGTAATACAGAAAGAAATTACTTTGATTTATTTCATTATACGTAAATAAATTGTTGTTATTTAAATTTAATTTATGTATAATTATCATGTACTTATAATTGTATTCTATAACAACCTTGTAATTAGTAAATATTATATAAATTATAAAAATATAAGCTTTTGTATATGTATTAATAAAGCATGGAAGTGCATGTATACATTTTTCAAAACTGAGTCAAATTGATTGGAAATATTATTCCGAATAGACAATTACAATTAAAAAAATATTTTAATGTATAAAATTTCTACAATTAATATGTTAAGATTAGGGCTGGGTTTTAATGCCCTAAAATAACTCAAAATGCCCTTAAAAAATGCAAAAATGACTTGAAAAACTCAAAAAATACACTATAAAAATGCTTTAAATGTATTCATCATAGCTTAAAAATTGGAAAAAAAAATTTTAAATCATACTGCAGAAGTGTATTTATTTTTTTTTTTTTAATAGTATTATACTTGATTTGTTGAATGATCTATTTTTTCTTAATCATTCGCGAAAAGGTCTTTCTATGATAAAATATTTGTTATCAACGATAACATGTCGTGTTATTTAATTTATTATTTGCGGCGTTAGTTCATCGAAAGTCTTTTGTTAATCACAACAACTCTCATTCATTTTATGAACAAAATGTAAATCTAAGAAAATATACTAAAATCGTCTAAAAATTCCCTATAAACGCATTTAAGGTTGATTTAATCAAAAAACGTAAAAAAATGCAAAAAAAAAATTCTTTAAAATAATCAATAGATATCATCCAATAGCCAATACACATTTTATACTTACAAACCAACGTTTTGAAACACCAAAAAAAAGTGCCTTTACATCAAAATCCCAGCCCTAGTTATGAATAATAACAAAAATCATTTACAGATAAATTCGTATTTTAACAATAATTTTGTTAAAATTTGAAATTTCCATAATTCATGAAAAATATACACAGCTACACGTTTAACTTTAAAATTTTAAACTAAGCGATGAATATATTTTTATTTATTTATTTTTATGTCTGAAAACACTTTTTACTGATTATTGTAAAAAAAAAAATGTTTTGAAATACCACTTTGAGCTTTGAGGGTGTTTTAGACAGCAAATTTGATCTAGTTTGTACTTTATTTAAAGCAAAAAGTGTTTTAAAAAATAATTAGGAATTACAAAATAAGGTACAAAAATTTGTTAAATTTTAATTGCGTTATTAAAATAATTGTTTGGTAACCTTGGTTATCAAAAAGTTAAGCCATCTTTGATCAGAATCGTTTCTTTTGAATACATTAATTTATTGTTGAATTAAAATTCAACAGATGTTATAGACACTGTATTAGTGACCAAATCAATGACGAGTTAGTTTAAAGTTTAAGTTATTTTAAAAATTAATTAAATATATATTGCAGTGAATTTTAACTAAGGTTTATTGAACGATAAATGAAATTTAAAAATAATTTTTAATTGTCATGATATAATTAAAAGTTACTTCGATTATTTTTAAAATTTAATAAATCAAAGAAAAAACTGGGAACTCACTGTGCTTTATAGAATGTTTAAAAATAATATTAACATAAATTATAACAAAATTAAATTTGAAATATTCATAGATACATACCTCCAAAAAAAACCAAATATCTTAAAAATGTATAAAAATATTTTTTAATAAAATCTTACAAACTTTAATGATAATATTTTATGAAAATTGCAATTTCCAATAGAGATTACCTTTATTTTAAATTTTAAGTTATACGAACCTTTATTTATTGTCACAAAAAGTATAATGAAACAAATTGACACGGAAAATTAAAATCCACTTGAGATGAATTTTTCAGTGAAATAAAATCTCACTTGGTGTTTAGATGATGATTGAACACTAAAATGAGAATTAGCAAACGAATCAAAAATATAAAATAATAGCTATAAATCTATTTCCGTTGGACCTATGCCTGTATTAAGATTAGATTTTATAAAAACGTTTACGGTTTTATAGTTTTATTTTGTTTGATAACAAAGGTCACACTTTTAACTATTAATTAGGGTCGGCATAATGCAAAAATTGTATAATAATATCACCTAAATCATTTCATGTATATCGTAGAAATGATTTTATAATTTTTATTATTTATAGAAATTTTTTTTTATTATTATACATTTACACATAATATATTGCAATTTAATAAAGTATCAGCAAATTTTATTTTATTTTACTTACAATTATTGTGAATCAAGAAGATGTGAATCAGAATATAAATGATAACATATTATAATACATACAGGTCATGGTGTTTAATATTTAATAATTATCAAATTTCATTTCAATAATCAACTTGTTGCTAATGGCTAGCCATAATTCAACTAATTTTTTTTTTTTTATTTGACATAATTATTATAAAGTGAAATTGTTTAATCATGTATCACATGGATGTGTAGTACAATATTCACCTTTATATGTTATATTTTAAGTTTAAAAAACAGAATTAGGAAATGATATATTTTAACAAAGTATATTATTTTAGTTAAACCAATATTAAATTTATTGTATATAATATAGCAAATGTGAATAATTTTTATAAATTATTGTATTTAAAATAATAAATTTTCAAAATTATTTTTTACATAAGACATGATATGTGCAGAATAAATTAAACCATGGCTTAAATAAAATAATATACACAATAAAAAATATAATTTTCTGAACCTATATTTTTATTCTTAAATCAGAATGTATAGAAACTCAAATTAATGTATGAATGAATAAAAAAAATGTTTACCTTAAAATTATATGTTTTACTAGTTTGAAGATGAACACTTAAAAGTTCGCAAAATACTATTGGTGAGCCACACATGTAATAATTACTTATTATGAAAAAATTATACAGAATAACTCAATGCGCTAGTTACCTGTGTCAAAAGTTTAACCATTTTCTATAAAACCACTTTTTGAATTCAAATTCTGTAAAGTTTTGAAGAATTTAAAATACGAAAGCCCTAAATTTGAAATAAAAATACTTAAGAGGTGACTTCAAAGTTAATAGTAGATAAGAATGATTGGATGCTCTAAAAGATACCATTGAAATTCCAATATAATAAATATAATGCAGACACTAACAGTCAACAGATTACAACTATTTTCAAAACTATCACCACCGTATATGACCTGTACCGCTCGCACACATTGCTTGTAGCTTGTACTGCCCTCATACTTCGAACACTGCTCAACATATATTTCCAATCCCTGAAATGGAATGCAATGAAGGATAACGTACAATGTATACAGGCTCACTTCGACGTCTTCTGAGTTCTGACCATGGTATATATGATAGATCTGTTATATGAACCCATTTTTCCTATCTTCTCCCGTGACAAAACTCGTGAGAAGGCAGCTTAGATGAAGCTGAACACTATCGCTATCAAAATACTGTTGGAAATGCCACCATAAGTCTCTTCTTATATCTTCCTACATATCTATAGCACCATTAATGAGACGACAATTACGGTAAGCCGTGAGATTCAAGGGTGGTGGACTCTAGTTGGTTCACGGAGCTTCTAGTCGAGTCGAACTCTGCAAACGGTAGTGAGCTTGTTTCATTTACCACCCAACCCTTTAATATAATATATACTGTATGACGCTGTATTATAAATATTTCAAAATTTGTAAGGAATAAATGGTGTGGCCTATGTGTTACTAATGGCGCAACCACTACCTCTATTATGATAATACAAAAAAATAAGTATTAATAGACGGCACTAAATATGCACACATATAAGCCATTTAAATATAAATAAATACTCGTAATTTAAAAAAATTAGAATCAATGTTATAAACCACACGTGTATAAAGTATCGTACTAACTACTGTTAGAGACTTCAACATAAGTATAAATGATCCAATAAAACGAGAAAAAATTGTTGAAATAGAATCTAAAGGGAAAACTTTAACAACAGAAGAACTCCCTCCCCTATTATATTATCTAGAATTATGTAACTGAGTATAAGGTGCTTGAAGAGAGAATAGACATTATGAATATTTACTGGAATGGTTTTAAGAAGTTTAAGTAGTATCTAATGTAAATTAGAATGAGTATTCGATTAGAACGTCCATAAATTAATAATACATTTTATTGCAAGGCTTGGATTTTTCTGCACCTAGATCGGTGAATTGCATTATTTGTTATAATATGACATGACTGGCATAGTGACATGCATAATAGATTTTATTCATTGAAACTCATTAGTTATATTAAATAATGAAATAGACATTGACTTACCCATTATTTTAGTGTAGAGGCTTTGTTTTATGCGGGCCTCATATTAATCTTCTATCTAAATTTATTCACAGATGTATTCTTTTAATATTACCATACTATGCTGCTATATAATTTATATAGTATAGATTAAAATATATTGAACACCAACATAATCGTATACCTATACTGTATTTGATTTGAAGGTTATTTTTTTTTTCATGTACTTATTACAAAAATTTACGCTTGGTAAATTCTAATTCGTGGAAGTCCAATTATTTTCACAAAATAGAAACATTTTATTATGTTTGAAAATTTCAACTGAAATAAGTAGTTCTAAAAGAAAAATATATGATCACAATTCTGATCACATTATTTACAGTTATTGAAGGCGACAAAAGTTTACAGTGGTATTTTAAAATTCAATTCAATTCAATTTTATGCCGGTTTGATTATTTAAAAATATAAGTTATATAGTTTACTAACACAAAAATAAAGAAGAAATATTACAATTTTATTTGAATGAACGTGTACTTAACTGATTTTTTCATACTTATTTCAGTAGAAATTTTCAGACATTATAAAATGTTTACCTAAGCTGTAAACAAATATATTTCTATACTTGAACGTTTAATATTTTAAAATAATATATATTAAGACAAAAAGATAAATTAATTCAGGGTTACATAACCTAGGGTTGCTATTCGTCGCAGACTGTACTGATTTACTACGTTCCGTTGTCCACACAAAGTTATCGGGAATTATCCCGGAATTAAACGTCAATAATTATATTTTTTATTTTATCTTTTACCACGTATCTATGTCCTATAACAAAAAGCAACAATATTGTTTTGATGAATGAAAAAATAATAAAGTTGGTTATTTAATTGACTAACGAAATACATTTTAAAATTATTTTCCTGGTTTGGTAACGACAATTATTAATTATTAATAAATAATTCATTGTTTTCCTGTTCTCCTACAACAATAAAATTGTTGTTATAACTATTTGGTTTATTCGCTAATAACCAATAACTTTGTCGATTCTTTGTTATTCCTATATGTAACATTGAGTAAAATTTTACCTTTTGAACCATAGGTGGCCAACTTACGGCTTGCGAGCCACTTGTGGCTCACTTCATTGTCAGATGCGACTCGCGTCTTATTTACAAAATTAAAATTTATTTAGTATCATTATGAATTTTAATTGTTAGGTAGTTATTAGCTTATAAAAAATTATCAAAATTATATAAACATTTTGGCTTTTGGTATTATTGTATTTATTTATGTGGCCCGCGAACCTATTCATGTTGACCACCCCTGTTATAAACTATGTCGTAGAATACTAACTATTGTATTTATGATTATTTTAGTTACTATCAAATACTATGTTAAAACTAATAGTTGACTGTGGTATAAGATTTTTCTCATGAAATTTATACAAAGTATATTTATTCTAGCATCAGTAAAATTAAGTATGGCAATCATAACCTAGCCTAACCTATATATTATATAGTGGATCATATTTGGCAGTAAAATAGTAATGATTATCATTTATTTTACGAATATTTTGTTAATTATGTATGTGATCATGTTTTACGTATTATTAAAATTGAGCATACTTCAACTATTCATTAACTGAAACATGATTATGTAAGGTTTATTTGTAATTATTACAAATTTAAAATACTGTAAATTTAAAATAAGAAATATCTAAATAACTGGTATCACTCGAGTAAAAACTAAAAAAATCTAATAAATAATATATATAGGTATAAATTGTCGTAGTAAACATTTTAAATATATTTTTATTCGTTAAAAACAATCCACAAGAGTATAAAACTAATGTCTACAAATACTTAATATTAGATTTTTAACTATTAGATGTCTTAAACGTTAATCCCAATAAGTAATAAATAATACTCGTAATATTCATTCAATAAATAATATTATTTCGTTATAATTAAGTATAAATATGTCTTTGAGTACCTATTACAATTTGGTAATTATAAGTAAATGCAATCAGTAAATCAGATTTAAAAGACATAGGAAAAATCCACTTCACGTGTATGTCATTGAAATTATTTTACTGACGTCATTACATTATAACGTTATGTACTTCTATGATACAACTTATAATTTGAATCATAGATGAATTTTAAATAATTTTCATTTTTCCATCAAAAATTTTAATCAGAATATTTTGTACAAAAATATTATGCAAATAAACGTATTTATTTCAATATAGAATTTGATTATACAAGGTATTTTTTACCACTAAATCGTAATTTTCTCGGTAAATGTATGTGCTTTTGATGGTATTTTTTTCACATACTTTAAAAACACTACATCACATCTTAGAAAAAAATTGCAACTAATACTTATAGTGTTGACCATGTCTTACAGTTACCATAGTCACGACTTAACTATAATTTATATAGGTAAGGTATTGAAAGTTTTAGACAAGTGCACCGATGTCCCCGTGCCACATCACTTCAATCGTCTGACACTCTAAAATGTGAATAATGTTTACATAAAAGTTATAAACATAATTAATATTAATTACTGGTTAGAAGTCCGATTTTCACGAATATCGAAATCATCAGAAAAATATTTGTCTTGGAGATATGAAATTAAAAATGCTTTACAAACGGCATCAAGAACAAAGAAAGAAAAA